GGCTGCCGGGGAGGGGGGGCTCCGCGAAGGAGGCTCCTTTCCAGGCGTTTGCAGGGCCTGCTGCGCTCTCGGCGTCGGGGTGGTGGGGTTTTTTTTAGAAAGTGGAGGAGTTGTATCTAAAATTAAGTTAGTAATTAGGAAAATGGAGTTTTCGTGACATGAGAAACAGCTGATCTCATTAATCTCTGGGGATACTGGTTCCTATTTGCAAGTATGTGCTAAGGCAGACTTCATCCAGATGCTGGTATCGTGTCAAACATACAGCAATGTCGTATTGAATACTATATATCTTTAGCTTCATTATTTTCATCCGAACAGCCTAGAAATGAAGAAGCTTTCACAGATGAAAAACATTTCGTCAGATCCAGCCCGTGTCTACCATGTTTCAAGTGCTGTGCACATTCTCAGAGTTTTATTCATCTACTGCTGAATACAAAAGCATCTCTTTCAGATCATTTTATACAACTACGTGAAACCGAAGTATAGTAGAAGAAAGAAAGCTGTGATTCACAGAGCTACAAAGATGAGGCGGTGTCATTTCCTATCGCATCTCATCGAAGAACGTTTTTCCACCTTTACGTGGGTGTCAGGTGTGACAGGGGCTCGAGCAGCGTCAGCCCTTTTCTTTCACGTCAGGACCGCAAGAGTGATGAAAGAAAAAAAAAGAGATCCTGCGGAGCTGGACCGCGCTACCTTGAAGCTGCAGGCAACCGCAGCGAGCTGGCTGCGGTCTGCTCGGCTTGCTAATGCCTACCCTCTGGAAAAGCAGGAAAGGTGGTTGCCGCAGCTGCTGCTAGAAATGTTGCCACTGTGTGAATCCCATTTGTGCATTCAGTTCAGGCTGATCGTACAGATGTAAGGGTATTTGGGAGATTGAAGGGTACTTGGAAGTTAGTTACGGAAATCTTTACGTGCCTTTTCTTAGAAAGGAAATATTTGCCATGGAAAAATATAACTGAAATATTATTGGTAGAGCTGCTCACGTACTGCATATGCTCAACATGGTATTTATCTACAAGATTTTGCATAAAGATACACACTTAGTCATGCTCAGAAAGCTTAGATCCTTTTCCTTTGATTTTCCTGTGGCTGACAGTAAAGTTGAGAATTTTTGTGGATGCAGAATGTAAATCGCAGTCTCAAAGGCAAAGTTTGTACGCTGGATTTAA